TTTGCTAGGGGGTGCAGTCGTGTTGATGATTTTAATGAACGCAATTTATTTATTACTAACAAACTTCTTAAACAAGGTTATCGCTATCATAAATTGCGTAAATATTTTACTAAGTTTTACCATCGTAATTCAGACTTAGTATTAAAATTTAATTGTAATTTAAATACTCTTTTACGACAAGGTATTAGCAAGCCTGACTTCTATGGAGATGTGGTTTACAAACTTCGAAGGATCATGGGTCATAGTAATTTTTCTGCCGTCTTCACTAAAATTATCAAACGGTTTATTAAAAGAGGTTATGACCCAATTATTTTAAGGCATACCGCATGCTTGGTGTTCAACCCTTTTACAGTTGGACGCTACGCTTTCCTCTTTTGATTACATCTGACGGACCAAGTGGGATGGACAGTTCTTAAAGCCCTTTGGGGACTGAATTGTCTTAATGTTCGTCTTCTGCCTTGCTTCGTCGGGCCCTTGTAGGTGATTTTCTTCTTGCTCTGCCTTCCTTTAAGGCATCGAGTACTTAGGTAATGGTCATTAGGCAGTAACTTTTTCTACATATTTACATAAGTTTGTATGTGTTTTATTTATTTCGTCTAATGTAACCATGACCATTGTTAGAATTTCACTTGGCAGGGATTAATTTTATATACATTTTCGTGTCATTCAGGAACATATTGGGGCTAAGAGTGAGGTTTGGCGCGCCTAAAACCGGTTTAAACTACCCAGTATTCCTACTTGAATACTGTATAATCACCCTTAAGATATGATGCCTGCTTTTTAAATTTGTCTTTTGACGTCTTATCTGTGATATGCAGGCTTCATAACCTCAGATCCCCTTTCAAAATTCCATTTAATTTAGTTCCGCCCATTGTTTTCTCGTTTAGGGCTAAAGCATTCTTTTACTTGGGGACCATATGCCGCTTTTCATGGAATGGCACTACTGTGTCACATTGAAGGTTCCATGATAACCGCCGTATGAACACATCTGCGGATGTTTCTAAATTCAAAACCATTTTCGTGTCAAATGTTGAATTCTGCTTAAGCCGGTGCTAGGGGGCGTGGACGGTTACTTGCACTTTCCAGTACCGTCGATGAACAGGCTCAATCAAACCGAGCCTGCAACATTTTCAAGGGTGTTGTGTTGGACCTTCTTTAGGGATTCTGTTTGTCTCTATTTAACTACCACTGACCGTTCCAAGGCGGTACCCCTTTGTGTTCCTTCACGTGTCTTTCTTGTCTGTATTGTTACTTGTTTTTGGATGTTTACATGTTTTGTGATGTCTGTCTTGTTGGATTGTCGTTGACGGTAGATATTTTCTCTTCCCCCTCCCCTTCTTCCATTTTACCCCCCCCCCCCACCTTTTCAGCCACACAGCCCTTTTCCCTTTAATTCCCTTATGGGCCTGTTTTTGTTTATATTATTTCACATTACATGTCCCGCTCCTTTCGCCCTTGTGTCCACTCTGGGTGCTTGTTTGGTGCCTTCTGGGTGTCCTGCTTGGGTGTGTCCGGGGGCGGCGTCCTGTGAACGTTGCCTTTGCCTTGTTGATCTTTATTCTTGTTATTTTAGGGCAACAATAGCCATTCTATATTATATAAAACTAATAAAGACAAAAATCAATCATTAGAGAAACTAACTTTTGCGTCTTCTGAATTTCTCTATTTTAACAGACTTTGTAATTGCAGCTGAATACGACAGTTGTTTTGGTCCTTGTGATTCAACAAGCTTTCGTGCATCTTGAAAGGAAATATTTTGCGTATACTTCTGACGAAGAATTTCTTTTTCTTTAACCACAAGGGGTATGACCGGGAAGTGGCGTAATGCTCTCCTCCACAGTTTGCACATTTTACATGAACGTTACAAGTTTCATTATTGACATGGTTTAAACTGCATCTGCGGCAAAAAGTCTGCCTTCATAGTGACCAAATTTGAAGCATTTGTAACATTGCATTTGGTTTGGAATGTAAATTGAACGCGAACGTTAAAATCTGGAGACAAAGAGATCCCTCGGAAGCATAAATCACAACAAAATTACAAGAGAATCGAAGACTCGGTTTGATTGAGTCTGTACATCAGGGATAATGAATACGTGCAACATCCCTCACGCCCCCTAGCACCTAGGTTTTCGAGTAGGTTAAGGTTACCTACTCGAATCGATGATGGAAGAATGGGCGTGGAGAATGTAACAATAAGACTATACGTTTGCACTCGCTTACCATCTCTTGTTGAATAAATGCGCTTCATTCTGATTCAGGAAAATCTGTCTCTATCATTCCCGCAAGGCCGGAACATTTGCTTGTTTGTTTGTTTCATTTTACGCCTTTTTCCAACAGTATTTGAGTCATAGGCGGGTAGTTTCCTAACCATCGTTCCTGGAGAGTTACACCAGTAAAAGACTACCTTTCTCCGCGCTGAACTACTAAAACATCTCCCGGGGATCGAACCCACGCCAGAGAGGTTACTGGAAGTCATCGACTCTATCCAGTTGCAACAATTTAAAAAAAAGCTAGTACATTTCAGAATAATATCTGCTTGTTGTTTCCGCTCTACCAAGAGTCCACCATTGCGGAGTTTCTTGACAGACTTAAGCGTGCCAATTAAATAGTGATAAACAGAATCCCTAAAGATAGCCCAACACTGCAAAATTGTAAAATGTTGCAGGCTCGGTTTGATTGAGCCTGTTCATGGACGGTAATGGAAATTGCAAGTTATCGTCCACGCCCCCTAGCACCGGCTTAAGCAGAATTCAACATTTAAACACTAATATGGTGAATTTCGAATTTATAGACATCCGCAGATGTATTCATACGGCGGTTATCATGGAACCTTCAATGTGCACAGTTGTGTCATTCCATGGAAATAAAATAACAAGAATAAAGATCAACAAGGCAAAGGCAACCTTCACAGGACGCCGCCCCCGGACACAACCAAGCAGGACACCCAGAAGGCACCAAACAAGTACCTAGACTGGACACAAGGGCGAAAGCCATGGAAAGCCGCATATGGTCCTTAAGTAAAAGAATGCGTGTGCACCAAACGAGAAAACAATGGGCGGAACTAAATAAAATGGAATTTTGAAAGGGGATCTGAGGTTATGAAGCCTGCATATCACAGAGAAGACGTCAAAAGACAAATTTAAAAGGCAGGCAACATATCCCAAGGGTGATTATACAGTATTCAAGTATGAGTACTGGAACCACCCAAATTGAAAAAAAGCCAAATACAAGAAACTAAAAATACCATGTTAAATGTATACACAACAATGATGTCGTGCTGGACGATCTTCAAGGATCGAAAATTTAAATGTACGGGGAGACTTTTTACAGCCGCCACACGGCACAAATAACACGGATGTGACAATGAAATAGTGAAAAACAGAATCCCTAAAGAAAGCCCAACACGGCAAGATTGTAAAATGTTGCAGGCTCGGTTTGATTGAGCCTGTTCATGGACGGTTATGGAAAATGCAAGTTACCGTCCACGCCCCCTAGCACCGGCTTAAGCAGAATTCCACATTTAATTAAACACTAATATGGTGAATTTTGAATTTAGAAACATCCGTAGATATGTTCATACGGCGGTTATCATTGAACCTTTAATGTGACACAGTAGTGTCATTCCATGATAAGCGGCGTATGGTCCCCAAGTAAAAAATGTGTGTGCCCGAAACGAGAAAACAATGGGCGGAACTAAATAAAATGGAATTTTGAAAGGGGATCTGAGGTTATGAAGCTTGCATATCACAGAGAAGACGTCAAAAGACAAATTGAAAAGGCAGGCAACATATCCCAAGGGTGGAATACTTGAACCAACCAAGTTGAAGAATTTAAAAACACCATCTAAAATGTATACACAAAAAATGATAATCAGTATCAACAAGGAAAGAACGCATTCCCCATACGACCCAGCAACAAGAACCAGTGGCAAGGAGCCCAGGCGTACCCCAAACAAAACAGGACAGGGCACAAGGCAGAGCTCGGACAAGCCGAACGCTGTTTTTCTATAATGAAGGGGCTACGGTCAGTAAGTAATTTGGAGCTGTTTGATTTGAATATTAGATAAAGTTTCCTTTTAAAAGGAAAGGCTTGCTCAGTTGTGCCATCATCCCTTCCCTTTAAAATTGTTGTTTTTTTGTTTGTTTCAATTTATGATCACAATTTTTTGGAATTACGGCATTTGTATATCATAAAGGGTTAATTTAGTTTTTTTCTCGAAAAAAAAAGTTTCACTTTTAAAGGGACAGGTAGGGTAAGCCCAAGACTGGACGAGCACCTGTGCCCATTTGTTTGAGCACCAGTGTTATGCGTGCAAATTTGGACCAAATAGGGACCAGAAGTCCACTGATTATAACTGCACGGGAACATGCTTACGATAACAGTAGCAACTTTTTTTTGTAAAAAAACAATTTGAAATCTATTCTCTATTGTAAAAACTAAGAAAGAAAATAATCAATCGTAAAAATACTTACATTGGCTCTCACGTGGAGATCAATCTATCATACTGAAGGGAAACAAGTGTGCACATTTCATTTTCACTTTTTTTCACACTGGCCATAGCTTTCGCAAAAGCGGTGGGTCTACCGGTGCGGCGATGGAGAATTCGTCGCAAAAGCGATGGAAAAAACATGGCTGTCGGATAGTTTTTTGCTGGTGTCGATAAGTTTATATATATTTTTATGTTCAACTGATAACACCTAGTGAGACTGGAGCCCACATATGTACTCTTCCAACGTATAACATGCATGGGGTGCAAATCATGACCAGTTATGCAGACATTTCTGTACAGTCTGACGAGGGGACGCCACTTTTGCCTTATTTTGTTTATAACACTACAAATATACTCAAAACTACCCCTAGATACACTGGCATCACATCGTATGTATGATAATTACACAAAACAACCATATTTTGGAACTTTTGGAAATTGATATAACCATTTTCATAAAAGAATTGACAAAAATTGATTACAACGCAGACGGCGGTGGATTTGATTGCAACGCAGTGCGATGGGCCCGATATCATTTAGGTCTTTTTTTAACATTAAAGTTGCAGACACTTAGGAGTTGAGCTGCAAACGCCTGAAATTACAAATGAAATATATATTTGTTAATCCTAACACATACAGTTGTTATATAAGATCAATGATATATACTAATATAGCCACGTGGTACAATTTACAAGTAGCGATTTCATGTTTACTTTTGATTAACATTTTTATTCATCTGATCGACTCTGATCTGCAATTTACTATTGCTGTATAATTCTTTTCACAGCGGTTTCTACATGAAAACATCACGGTCCTCCGTTTACCCTGTTGTTGTTTGTAGCCAGGAATCAGATATCTTTGACGACTCAGACAGCGAATCGGGTAAAAATTCGACGGAAAAACGAGTATATTTATCGACGTTACATCAACAAAGCAAGCTAAGGACTCTTAAACCAACGTGAGTATAAATTACCAACATTCACTTCTTGAATGGTTAGTCAGTCAATAGTACAATATATATGTATTTCTAATTTTCTTGGGACGAACTGTCAGTATTTCGATCAGTAGCACTATTGACCAATAAGAAATACAATTAGTGATAAGAACATATATAATTCACCAAACATTGACTAAAGCAAAGTCTTTAATACAGATTGGTCACACAGCAGAACATATTTATAAGTGATTTACATTGTATATACAGATATAAGGAGTCATTTAATAACATTTGACTAATGACTGGTAAGCTAGTTTGAAGTATGAATCTTTCCAGAAAAATAATGCATGATTTCAGTTTAAAAGTCTAGTGAGGAAAGAACTTATAGAGCACATTATATTCATTATTTTTATTTTTCCTTGCCTTCAGGGATCATGCATTTGACCAACCGGACAGAAGAAGAACGAAGGCACGGCGGAAATTAGGTGTCCTGACATCTAACCTTGATGCGCCACCAAAAGGAACTTTGCCAATGCGGAGAGAATACCACAAATGTGACGAATCTAAAGTGTTACCCAACAAAAGGTCACAAATGTCAGACATTAACATGTAACGTTTTAACATAACGGTGCTGATTTTTAAGTAAAAGCTGTATTCTACAGCCGTGTATAGTTACAAGAACAAACAAAACGTGAGCGCATGTTATAGACGTTTTCATCATTATTACATGCATTAACACATACAGGCAGATAAAAAAGATCAATAGATATTAAGCTTTGTATGACGGTAGGATTGATAACAGAAACATTTAAAGCGAAAGAACTGTGGGCGATGTCATATTAGAGCTTTTTGTCCTTGACCTTGATTTTATACCTACACTGTATATAGGGTTATTTCAATGGAATGAAATACGTTTGATAAAAACTTTCTTCTTTTATTATGTTTTTCATTTTACTTTGGCAAAGCATAAAATTTTATTCAATAAAATATTACTGTTATCTTTTTTAAATTGCATGAAAGTGTTTTAAATAAATAAATATTTTTTTTTAACATTTTCGTCAAAAAATGTCGTCACAAACTATATAAAAACTCCATTCAGGACTAACTTCAAAGACTCAAGATGAACATAGCTCCATGAAAATAAGAAAAAAGGTGTATGTTCTTTTCACGTGAAATTCTGCTCTTGAAATTTGCAATAATTGCGAGTCAGGGGAAGATAACTAGAAAACGAAATCTGTAAATGTTTCTGTCTCATACAATTGCTAGAAAAGTTTTAATTTTAACTCCTGAATACGACATGAATCGTACATGGTTTCATTTTAAGCGTGACAATTGATATATCATTATTGACTGTTCTTATTTTGGAATTGTGATTTTCGTATATACACGCCTACTAAACGGTGGCTCTTTCACATTTTCGTGATCTGTTTAAATGAGAGCCATCGACACTTCCGTTGCAGAGCCCTCGATGAAAACAGGGCTGAAATAGGTAAGACATTTTAGTAAAGATGTCAATTTAAAAAGATTGCTTGTTTTTCAAAAATCGAAAAATGTCATGCCACGTATGACATTTTTCTCATCATGTTGGGTGAAATTTCGATAAGAAACACCCTAAAATGACATTGCTAGAACTTTTACCAAATATAACCTTGTGGGTTTTCTTTTACGAGGAGACACATTTTGAGTGATTTCCCTTCCGTAAAGTAGATGCTTGCCCATGTATTCGTGTATATAGCATTGTCCCAACCTCCTTTTAGGACCAACACAAAAAATAACTTACAGAACTTACTTGAAAACCAAATAATTAAATTTTTATTATTGTGATCGAGCCATCGACAAGGTGCTGGCGCCATCGGCAATGTGAATGAGCCCTCGAAAATGTGACGGAGCCAACACTATCATTCATTTTGTGATAACATGATGGAGTTTAACCGTTACTTAACCTAACTGATTAACATATACAATTTCGCATGCATCGTATCATTGGGTTGACATATTGAATTAAAATACGCGATTTGATTATTCGAATTCATGAAAATTGAAGTAAAACCTCTTTGTATAAAATATTAACAGATTAGCACACAAAAATAGTTTTTTACTTTTAGTCAGTAAAATTTCAGTTTTTAATTTTGAAATTTATGAAAATTTCAAATGGAATCTCGACATGAATTAGGGGTTACAAAAAAGATTTTCATGTGATGTGTGTAGAAAGACGTACGCCAATAAGGCCAGGGTTAAATTTCATCATGAGCAGGCGGCGAACAGTACATTATGTGGTATATGTGATGGGCAATACGCAACACCATCTTCTCTTAAAAGACACGTTGATTGTGTACATACACGAGAAAGGGAACTTGTGTTTAACTTGTGTGCACGATTGAAGAATGCAATAGTTCATTCTACACAAATAAGACACATACGGAAAAAAATGCCTCTCGACTAAAGAACTGTTTGGTACAATAATTGCATGTGTGGTTCTTCTTTATACTTTTTTTTGCAGCTTTGGAGGTGTCATTTTAAGTTGCGTTCATAAGTAAAATGTTTCTCACACAACCCACAATTCAGCTCATTGACATTGTGTTTTTTGGGGAGGCTATGCCGACCCAATGTTAATAACCATCCGTCAAATCTTACTGCCGCGGTAATCAGGTCAAAAAATAGTACCTTGATTTTTTCTAAGCTGACTCATCACTCATCACAGACATTTACAATATGAAAATATTTTCATTCTTTAATTTCATATCTGCAATTTGTAAAGATAATAATTCTCTGAAAAATTCTTGATTTTTGTTTAAATCACTACTCCGTGACGTCATACTGCCGCGGTAATCAGGTTTAGGCATACGTACGTCAGTAATAAATAGTTCTGGTATGAAAACCCTTCAAAATAATAACTTTTATCAATATTTTTTTAACAAAAAGCATAAATGAAAATTTATAAGTAAATGCTTTAATTGAGTGGCAAATATTCTTTATTATTTTTGATAACAATTTTCCAATTACTACGCAGCGACCAACTGTTTATGACGGGTCATTAACTAGAACGTTGCAACACCGTATTCTCAATATCATGCATGTTCTTTTGTTGTTATAAACCATTAATAGTCCTTAATATTTTTTAAAGACAAATAATTGTAAACTGTCGCTTACATCAGAGACATGGATCATGCTTGCGTGATAACTAAGGAAAACTAACTTATTAGTACACCCCAGGAGGCTGTACGCGGAAAACGCTCATTAACCGCTATATCATATAGCTGTTAGTAAATATTTTGCATACATTTAACTAAAAATTCACTGATGGTGATGAACATATAGTTTGAAAACATTATATTCTTGAACCATTATCGCCGAAAAAAAAACTACTTAACTACAAAATCCGTAAGGACCCTCCGACAAAATTCCAGCACAATATTACATTTTACATTAGCAAAATAAAAAAAGCAATACTTATATTTTCATCTTATATAATTCATTAATCAAACTTTTAACATAAAAGTATCTTTTAAAAATATGTCTGGCAATTGACAGATCCCTACTCTGATCTTTTATTTGTATAGAAATAAATTTAAACATGTGCTCTTTTGTTTAGGAATATTTTGTAGTGAAAGTCTTATATATTCACTAATCTCATAATTAGAATTAGGCAGGTCAGGGATTTATACAACCAGTTGTTTAGTTAACTATGCTCATTTTAATCCCAATAGAAACATTCAAATATTTGGGGTAAAAAACATGACCAAAGTACCTAGTAGTCGTTTACCCGGTGGTGATCCCATTAAACTGATTATAGATTCGAATTGATTAGAAAACACAAATAGAAACATGTGTTTCCGTACAACAAAAATCGGAAGTAAAGTGAACAGTTAATTGACAGAAATATGTGGTCAAATATGTTTTAACAAGGAAATAATTATTTCAGAGAAAGACGCAAAGATCAGTATGACCCCGTATTGTGTAATTAGAAAGTTTATTCAATTCTAGGGCAACGCATCATAATTTGATAGTCCATGTGTAATAAAATTCAAATTTTCAATACAGATTATGAGATACATAAAAATTTTTTAAAGAATAAGAAGCTTTAATTAAAAAAACAAAACAAAAAACAAACAAAAAACAAAACAAAAACTGCATACATATACAAATTACTTACAGTCGAGCATCGGGAAGTCATTAACATATCTTACGAAACTTTAATTTGAAAACGATATTTGCGCGCGCTGAAGTGATTAATGTTTATTTGAAAAATAAAAAAAAGAACTTATATGTTTGTGTTCTAAAAATAATCGGCGGCATAAGAGGAATTTCTTATTCATTTTACAACACTTGAAAAATTACTACAGAAAATGTGTTGTTGTTTTTTTGTTTTGTTTTCAACAAAAGTGTGTGTATTTTAAGTTTATTTATACTCGGCGCCGGAATAACCATATGTCCGAGATTATAGCATCTGGGACGTCTTTTTCCAGCAGATTCCTCCTGGAAGCCCATTCTTCGTTCTTTGGTGGTAAAGGAGACGACAATACCGTCAAGGCATCAACTTTCTGACTGACGACAACAAAAACGGCATCTATTAGCGCTAAACCTCCAGAGTAAGTCACGACAGGTCAACCAATCACCTCTGGTACTTATGATGACTTGACTATGACCTTCCGTGTGCCATCTCCGCGACGTGCACGCCTCTGGAGGGATTTGGAGAAGTTTCAACAAAAACTTCCAAAACACGCCATTTATAACACCATTCATAGCACTGACGGCTTCGATGTTCTCATCTATTTGCGGGAAATGGTCGACAGGGAAAACCCTACGTAATTACCGCACACCCTGTTAACAACAGATTTTACGCAGTATATATTTCAAGCTAGTGAGGTTTAAAAATACACGTAGAATCTATCGATTAACTACCATAAGTTGGTTGAGTGTTGGCGGTAAAAAAAGAAGATATAACTTCCTGATCAATTTTCACTTAGGTTGATTCAGTTTTGAATAAGCTTTGCAGATATGTATTTTTTCAAGAAATATTTAGCTTTAATATTATCCGACGCTGGGAATAATTTTCTGAAACGTGATTTTATTCGAGATTTGCTTCTGGAGAAGACAACCTTCTGTCCGTAGAGCATGAATATTAATACTCATCACAAGACAGTATCTTATTGATCTCAATTATGGTACATCTAAATGTGTATAATTTTTATGTTCAATAAAAATGTTGCATCACTTGCAGTTGTTATTATCATTCAATAATATTAAAATGACATAAAGTATTTATGATGAACAGTCCTAGAATATTTTGATAAGGAACCGTCAGTTGTAAAATGTTATTGTTATCTGATAATGAACAGTCGTCATACTTGCTGGTATGTCATTTATTATTGACAGTTTAGGTTTTTCAAAATTTGCATGATTAACAGTCCGAATGTAGACCTCAATGAAATGTTCTGGAATATTAACAAAATGAATAGTCAACCACATTAACCATATATATGAATGGTTGAACACAACAGTAAGGATAAATAGCGCAATGTGCATATCTTTTTATTTTGGTAGCATATTTTAAGCAAAAAGAAAAGAAACTATAAGTCTGAAACATTCTCTCATAGCCTCCCCATCAGTACATTCATTGCTTTGATTTCCGTATGTGGTCCGTCCTGTCTTTTTTGTGTAGAATGAACTATTGCATTCTTCAATCGTGAACACAAGTTCCCTTTCTCGTGTATGTACACGATCAACGTGCCTTTTAAGAGAAGATGGTGTTGCGTATCGCCCATCACATATACCACATAATGTACTGGTCGCCGCCTGCTCATGACAGTTTTTTATATGAAATTTAACCCTGGCCTTATTGGCGTACGTCTTTTTACACACATCCCATGAAAATCTTTTTTGTATCCCCTTATTCATGTCGAGATTCCACATGAAATTTACATAAATTTCAAAATTAAAAACTGAAATTTTACTGACT